AAAAAAAAAAAAAAAGAGCAGACACAACTCTGAAAGGAAAGCTGTTCTGTGTACGATCCAGGACCATCGTGGGGACCCTGAGCTGTGCATGGGCCATGCCCTGGGCAGCTGGGCAGCTGGGCAGCTTGGCAGCTTGGGGAATTTAGCAAGGTCGCCTGTCGGGGGGGGATGGGGGGGCTGCCCCGACTCACCTGTCCGGTAGCCCGTGCTGTTGAGGTACACGGCGAAGGTGCGGCTCTCGTGCTGCGCCTGCCAGGAGGGTGAGGAGCAGTTCTCGTTGTTGGTGTAGGTGTTGTGGTTGTGGACGTACTTGCCGGTGAGGATGGAGGAGCGCGAGGGGCAGCACATGGGCGTGGTCACGAAGGCGTTGATGAAGTGCGCCCCGCCCTGCTCCATGATGCGCCGCGTCTTGTTCATCACCTGCATGGAGCCTGCAACAACACGGGCAGGTGAGATGGGGTGCGCTGGGGGTGGGGGTGGGGGACCCGTCAGTTTGCACCCTGTGCCTGCAACAGGCGCATCGGGACAGCCAGATGGGGGCAGTTGGAGAGAGAGTCCTGCAGTCAAACCCACCACATTCCTGTTGGTGTAGGTATTAAGCTGTTTTTAAATGATCTGAGCCTTGAAACAAACTGTTTTACAATATAAACAGCATGTCTTTTTTGCAGGGTGTTAATATACATTGATATTTTTGGAAAGCAAGCACCATGTAAACGGAGGGAAGATTACACTTTGTTTTGTTTGGAACTTTCCCAAGAATTGTGTGCGCCCACTGAAATCTGCTCGTGCCACGGGGGGCAGCCCTCTTCAAGTCTTCGGCTGCCGAAAAGCTCTGCACTAGACACACCACCTCCTTGGCCCACTCGGAACCCACTCCCACTCGGCCCTTGTCAAGCTGCACCTCTGCCAGAGGCCCCCGGGGGGTCGCCCTGCCTCCTGCTTCTCCTGGGCACTCATCCCCTGCAGCACGAGTTATTAGGACCTAATTGTACCCCAGGTAGCTATTTCCCTCGTGCCTGTGCTTGCTTCCCAGTTCAGCTGGAAGCAGGTGAGGCGCTGGGGGAGGAAGGAGATGGAGGTGTGTGGGAACCTTGCCCTGCAGCTCTTAGCACCCTCCCCTGCACACATGCCCACCTCCCGAGAGCTGGAGGTGGCAGGGAGCTCCGGCCTCTGGGCTTTCAGAGGGAGCACAGCAGCCGCCACCACCTCGACTTTGGATTTCTGGCCTCCAGCCTGGTGGGAACAAATTTCTCTTTTAAGCCACCCAGTTTGCAGCAATTTGTTAGGACTCTGCAGGAAACCCGCGCGGGATCAAACCAGCATACCACAAAGTCCTTGTCTGACAGCCATGATCACCATCACCTAGCAACTCCCTACAGACAGAAGAACAACTAACCAGCCCACCTCGGTCTGTCCCTCGGGGCGAAGAATGGAAAGATTTATAGGACTCATTCACCCCAGCTCTGCCAAACAGGGAAGGAAACAGAGCTGCAACTTCTCCTGGAGTGAACAGATTCGATCTCTTCATATCTTCTGGATGCTTACAACTATCCAGCAGCTTCTACTGTACTCGGAGTAAGGCCCGAGTTCCTTCCGGTGGCCCCACTTCCCCTCTCCCTCTGACCTCATCATGCTGTCCTGTTGGCCTGTGCTGCCCTCGGGCTTTCCAAGTGCCCCAGGCTCATCTCTGCCCGAGGGTCCCGCGCTTGTGCCATGCTTGTCTGGTTCTCTTCCTGGGGTTGCTATGGCTGGCCACAGTCATCAAGTCTAAGTTCCCTCCACAGTGGGCTCTGAGTGGGAGGAGCCCCAAACATCTCAAACACCTCAAGCATGAGTGCACGCCAGGTGGACCTGTGAGACATGGGGGGGAGCAGAACCCGAGGGTGGCACAAGGCTGGTGAGCCTCGTCATGCCTCCCTTGTAGCTGAGCTGGCTGGCACTGGCTGGTCAAGGGGGCCGCCCAGCCCCTCCCCCGAGGGAGCCTCACCTCTGGCAGGAACCCTGCTGTTGCCCACCAGTTACAGCTGGGCCCAGAGATGTCTCAGGAGGACATGTGGCTTTGAAGACTGAAGTTTTTGCTGCTCAGGGACTTGAGGATTACTGCCCAGTTCGTGACACAAAGCTGGTTCCCTCTAGCAAACCCCATAGGTGGCCTTGGCCGGGAGGCTCAGGGACCACTCAGGCCGCAGGTCCCTTGTGCATCTCTGCCTGGTGTAGCTCCAGCGGCTGGGAGCTGGCCCACTTCCTTCATTGTCATACCTCTGCCCCAGCACTCTGCCTGGCACCTGGTGGGTGCTCAACAAATGTCTGCTAAGGTCACAAATAAGGCTGTCTTACCCTCCTGGGTTCCCATGTCCCACAGGATCCCAAGCAGGTGTGTGGCTACAGACGCGTACGGGTGTTAGTGTTCTGCATGGTGAACTTCTACAACTTGACCTTTGCACCAGACATGTCCTGTGCTCCCTGGTTTGCCACACTCTCTGCAGCTTCACACAAACCTCGCCCACTCCCAGCCCCCACCAGCCCCCACAGAGCTGGTGCTACCCCTTCCTAATACAGCTAGGCAGATGGGACAGCTTCAACCTATCCCTGGGAGGAGGGCAGTTATCAGGTGTCATGCTGTCGTTGGTATCCCTTAATTCTCCCAGGGATCTATTTCATTGAAGCAGTGGAATTCGGGCTGTTAGGCCCCCTGTCATGCTACACAGCCAGAAGGGTGGTCTCAGAACCTGGCCTGTCCCATGGGGGAGATGGGCAATGAGTTCCATGCACATTAGGTCCACCATGAAGGTGCAGTGCCTGTGTCCCCAGGAGCTGTGCAGAAGTCCCTCTGCTCTAGGTTGGGCTCAGTGAGGCCTAACCTTGGGGACCCCTAGGTGACTTTAGCTGGGCACTCAGGATCCCAGTATTAAACACCTGGCACAACAGTGGTATGAGACGGATTCCCTTTCCCACCATCTGATGAACTCCAAGGCAAGGACCAGCTGCAGCCTGAGCACCAGGCAGGTGGCTGCGTCAGCTTGAATGTCATCGCTTGGTTTAATTTCCTTCTGCTTAGGGCTCCTACTTTCTCCTTTGAAGAAATGGAAAGCTTTTTTTTGTTTTAAAGAAACAATTACACTGATTTACCAAAGCCAGTCCAGTCCAGGTGGCCTACGGAAGGATGAAGTAATACACAGTGACCAGCATCTGGCAAACATGACTCACTGCAACCCCAACCTGTCTATCCTGGATGTCACTTGCTGTCTAACAGACACCCGAGTGCCCCTCTCTGCCCTCCCTGCCCCCTGCATCCCAGCTCCGGAAGCCACCGCATCCTCCTCTCTTCCCTCAGCCCCTCATCTGCCCTTTCGTTTCTTAGGCACTAACTGTGGCTTCTCCCCAAGTTCCCATATGAAATCTGTCCACAGAGTCTGGCACTGTCCCTGTCATCGACATCTGTGATCAAACCCGATCACCTCCTCCGTAGGCAGGCGATCATCCACCCCTTCTCCAAAATGAGGTCCCTCCCACCCCTGCTGCAGCCACAGGGGCTCCTCCTCTGTCCTGAACCCTGGGCTCTGCTCCTCTTCCCTGCAGCCACACAGCTGCCACGCCCCTGGCCCTTACACAGGCGCTCTCCTCGCAGTGACACCCCTCCCGACCACTCTGCCCACAATTTGACTCCCCTACCCCCAATCTTCCAAAGCCTCCTTCCCTGTACTTACTATCCCACACACTTATTTCTTCCTACACTCACCTTGTTTTGATTTGTCCCTGCAGCCCTGGAATGTCAGCGCTCTGAGGCCTAGGATGCTGACCCTGTGCCACTGTGCGAACCTCGGTGCCTGGAACAGTGCTGACCGCACAGTAGGTGCTAAATGAATACTTCTTGCATGCGTGAATCCTCGACATGCCAGGCAAATGCAACCCTTTGCCTGCAGTTCCCAAGCCATAGGGGAAAGAAAGGAGCAGGTGGTAGGCAGCTACTCAGCGTCCCACTATGCCTTGATGGTAGGCAGGACACAAACTGGCTCCTCACCTGGCTGCTAGAAATACAGGCCAGGCTGGGCTGCCAGCGGGTAAAGATCCTGGAGAGGTGGCACTCCGAATGCTGTGCACAAGAGAAGCAGCTGTGGCACTGCTTCTTTTTAACTACTCAAGTTTGAGCCCTAGGCCTCACAAGCGCTGGGCAAATGCTCTACCACTGGGCTGCATCCCGCTGCTCATTTTGAGATAGGGTCTTGCTAAGCTGCTCGAGTTTGCTATTTTCCTGCCTCAGCCTCCTGAGTAGCTGAGGTGCCAGGAGTGCATTTCTTATTTTTAATGGGCTTAAAACCCAGGTTTGAAGGGCCAAATAGCTCAGAAGATTAAGCCGCCTGCAAGCAGGCGCAGGGGTAGGGGTGGGGGTTTGATCCCCTAGGGCCTGCTGGGCCGGGCCCGCCCCGCCCCAGGGGCATGCTGAGACCAGCGATTGAGACTAGGCTTGGTGGTGCATGCCTGTAAACTCAGTACTTGGGAAGCTGTAAACAGGCGGGTCACTACGAGTCCAATCTAGTAGTGAGACCCTGAAAACCCTGTAGACCCTTTCCTAAAATTAAAAAAAAACAAAAACACAAAAAAACCAACCCAGGTTTTAAAGAGCTTTGTCTCCAGGGCTGTGTCACTGGGCCATGCAAGTATAGTTTCTCAGTGCCCAATGACAGCGGCGTCCATGCACAGGCAGCATGACGTGCCCAGCCTCCCTTGGGTGACAGTGGCATGCTTTATTGGAAGTGCATAGCGACCAGGCTCCATAAATCCACATCTGTAACATGGAAACACATGATCTAAGCCCTGATGCAGACGCCAGCGCTGGTGGCAGGGAGGGCCTGGCAGAGGCAGCCATGCAGGAATCAAAAGGCCAGTTTTCAATATTTCAAACAAAGCTGTGCCAGCCAAGCCAAACTTACTGGGTCCAACATAAATCTGGGGACATGCAGACAAAAACAGGCCTGGTTTCTTTCTGTAACCGAACCTTCTGGCCACCCAGGGCCATGGATGATGCCACCCTGACACCTCTCTGTGACTGCCGGCCAGGGGACCCCACCTCCACCCCCACCAGTGGGACTTAAATTCCAGGGCAGAGACCCCGACTGCCAACCAGTCTGCCCCAGGACACTCAGCGGCCGGCCCCACTCAGGACTGCGATTGCGGCCTCCCAGTGTGATAGTTATGTTATTATTTCTTGGAGATCTTTCTATTAAGTGATTTGGAAAACCCCCTTCCTGTGGACCCTGCGCCCGTGTGAGATCACTGGTGCAACGGTTTTCTGGGTGCACAACATGATGAGTCTCTAAATAGCAAAATCAGCGTCAGAGCGAGTGCTGAATTAATTTGCTCTTTTTATTATTGCTAGGGATGTAGCCCAGGGCCTCACGGGCTAGACAAGCCTGTACCCCTGAGCTACACC